TCACCTATACGGCCATCCGGTTCTCACTTTTGTAGTGCGAGCTGTAGCGAGTGTTTGAATGAACATTAACAGAGTTACGCTCCAAGATAATAAAGAATTTATCATGTTTATTTTTTATTTGATGGTTTAACGCGCGGCATTTTGAGAACTCCTGCAAGCGATGTTCACTGAACGACTGAAAACAATCGGCATAGCGATTAAAATTGCAAGAGAGACTACTAACAATCAATAAAAGAAATATAATTCGGTGAAACATAAACAGAGACAACAATTTTCATTCAGGAAGACAAGTATTAAAGTGTCCCTAAATATCCTGGATCTTCAAGCTTCAAGCTTAAGTTTGCTGAAGTTTATGTTTTAAGCCAGCTTCCCGGTGTTTGTTTTTTCAAAGACGAACTCGAGGCAAGAAAATCGCTCAAAGCTTTCTTTTCCGGCTAGAATTATAACTAAAGATTCTTTAGAACATTTTCTTTCTATTTGCGGTGATAAACTGTCTAAAGGCTTTTTAAAGTTCTGTAAGATTATATCAAACCAGATACTCGGTGAGATCGTTGTCTCAAATCTTACAAACGCGCATAAACTAAATTCCCGCATAAACTACGCTCCACTTCATTAAATTAGATACAAAAAACAAACATGAAATACAATAATTTCTCTGGCTTACCATTCGAGATGCAGCTCCTGAAAGTTATCAGGTAAAGCCAGTATCGCTTCAGACTTTGCAATCCTCTTACGCATCAAGCAAGGTGAAAACGAAAACGATGCCATCCGAAATCGGATTTCCGACTTTGACAAGCGACGTTTTCTCAACCAAAAACCCAATAAACAAACTAGCCATGAGTAACAGAAGACTCCTGATAGCAGCTGAATTTCATTTTGTACATCCAGTGGAAAAAGACAGTTAAAAACATCACAAGTTGACACAAAACTCTGTCAGCTTCAGCTGTTAAAGTAAACAAGATTCAAGATGCTGCATAAATTTTGCGCATGAACTCACCTGTCAAATTTTGACCAATCAGAGCATAAAAATTGGACGTAGAGCGTGACCAACCCGTGACCATTGTGAGAAAAAACAAAAGCAACTGTCTTCCCTGCCTGTAACAGCTGGCTGAATTTTCACGTCCGAGGTCAGTTTGCAATCAAAATTTTAATTGTGCAGCACATAAACACAACATATTTCATATGAATTAAGAAAAAAATTGAACTTGAGCCTGCGATCACTTGAAAACTAGTTTACTTGTCAGCGGATAACTTCAAAAAATACTTGACCTCGACGGGTCGACACCTGAGCCCGCGATACGGTCAAGTGATACTGGTCAGCGGGTACTCTGTTTTGACAGCTGTCAATTGATCAAAACATTGATGTCCAATATGTGTGCATTATCAGTTTTCCTGTGCTCCCAAACTAGTAAAAGTATGAGATTGAACGTTGTTCGCGATCTAGTAAAACAGTTAACTGGTCAGCGGACAGCTTCCAAATAAATCACGTCACCTCGATGAGTTGACACATGAGCCCGCGATATGGTCATGGGATACTGGTCAGTGGCTATCCTGTTTGGACAGCTGTCAATTGACCATATTGTTAATGTCCTATATTAAAGATGTGGACTTGCCAAGACACGCCTGAGACACCCCTCCCTTCCTTTTGATAGACTCCCCTACCCCACCCATACAATCTGTAGACGCGTACGTACGTACGTACGTACGTACGTACGCTCGGTCAATCACGTGACAACCAAACGAAAAGAGGTTGACCATATTCCATGGGTATGGGGCTCTGTCCCACGCGCGCTTCGCGCGCGCCGGAGCCCCGCTATTAGATCATTACTACAAAAACAAGATAAAGCGATTTCTAAAAAAGTTAAACAGCGTGATAACCACCCTCTGAAGGTATGCTTACCGCAAGAAAAGAACAATTTAACCTACAAGCTTAGACTTAAAAGCTGCCTAAGGCCCAAGATAAACACCGAACGTTATAAGAACACATTTATAAATAGATTAATTTTTAAATACAACCTTTTATGATATTTTATGTCAGATATATTTAACTAGTTTTTCAGATTTTTCAATCTTTTTATTCTATTGTAAGTTAGCTGAACTTTTAATATTTTTATCCTGTAACATTAGATATGTATTTTTATCTAATGAGCAATAAAGACATTTATAATTATTATTATCATTATTATTATTATTATTATTTGGGTCTGTGAAAGGGCCCAAAGGGCTAACAGATGATTTTCATGGCTTTATAAATTTTATTATTTGTGATCGATTCCTATTTAAAAGACAGTGCTTTTACAGCAGTTAAAAGGGATGCAAAGTTCTAAACAAGGTATGTGAAAGGGGTACCATTTGTCAATAAAAGGTATACGAAAGGGGGTTGAGTACCTCCCCCACCCCTTCTCCCGCCCCCCGGGGACAATCTCTCAGCCAAGGGCATTATCATCCGATATAACAGGAAGCGTGTGTATTTATTTTATGATCCTCTGATTATTTTTTTTTAAATCTCTAACATGTTGGGAGAGATGAGAAAACAAGTGGTGAGCGCGCGTGCAAAGGACGCAAAGAAGCTCATTGATTGGTTGAATTTTTTTTATTGAAACTGTGATTGGACCAACGCTTGACAGTCTGTCACGTCAAATATACTCTCTCAACGCCCCATAGATCAAAACTATAAAAAAATCAGCGCTTTTAGTTTATATTCTACCAACAGCACTATTCGAAAACGAGCCAAAAAAACGTTTCGAATGGATAAGTAAGGAGAATCCAACCATATCACTACCTGCCGCTGCGACGGCCTGAAAAGTAATTACACTATGAAACACGTACCTTAATCGAAAATTTCTGGAGCAATTGAAGGATTTGCATAAGTAAACTGTTGGCAAAACCTGGCCTTGTTGCTGTGAATGGTGGAAGCTGAAGAAGGCATAGCCTTTGTGGCAGGCGTTCGAAAGGGAAGGGGAATGGTGAAGGGGTCCACATGTTAGCCTAATTAGGGCGCGAGACCACGCGCGAGGGAGGAGGGAGGAGGGGAACGCCTGCAAGGAATCGAAGCCATTGTTTTCGCCATCCCGCCTACTAATTAAAAAAATGACAAAAATAACGCAATTGTGAATGACTAGCTGTCAAATAAGTCAGGCCGCGATGCACGTATTCTAGTCGTATTTCTCGCACTGTTTTTCGTTTGTTTTCCTAAAACAAGAAATCTAAAGTAAAGGTACTATAAAAAAATTTCAAATGCGGTCGTCCATCGAAGGAATCTTCCTTGAAAGTTGCAACGACGCGTGCCGAGTTACATAAAATCAGGCATAAATCTATTCAAGTTGTTGTTGAAGGAATCGGACTGGAAAACTATTTAATAAGAAATGTAACGGCTCTTCGCAACTTTCAACGCAATGTTTGTCTAAGAAAAATTAAAGCACCCTGCCGTCACGCACTCTTTGAATTTCTATCAGGACGAATATTGGATCCAGTGGATCACACAAAAGAACGCTAGTGGCGGGTAAAGAAGAGCTGAACTTCGAAGATCTGCAAGAAGGCAACAATTTATCATTAATTAAGTTCTTGGCGGTTTTATAACCGGCAAGAAGAAGTCCTCAACCAAAAATCGCCAAAAGTTATAGATCGCTTCGTCTTCAATTATCTTGCCGTTGATAAGGCGGGTCAAACAGCAGATAACAAGCACACAGGCAGCATGAATTTCCCTTTCTTTCTTCTGGCGAGTAAAACCGACAAGCCGTTGGGAGATGATACTTTTCAGAACCAGTCAGTAAAACTCATCTGCTGACAGGCCTTTTCCTTCATACGGTTCTTTAACTGTTTTTTTTTTTTTTCTATTCTCCTTTTTAAGCTGAAATTGATGCCTTCTAACGTTGAATTCCCGTAGAGAAATCTCATCACGCTGCACTAACGACATATGTTTAGTTACTCAAATGGCGTGATGTTGATTTCAACCAATCGGAAAAAAGGTATTAAGTCGAAGATTGGCATTTAATTAATTCTGACCAATCACTATTTTCACGCTCAGAATCTGAGCGTGAAAAACGGAGAAAACAATACCGTCCTGCAGGCGTTCCTTTTCTTTCTCCCTCGCACGCCCAAATTTCTCGCTTTTGTGGCCCATTTCGCTTTTTTCTCTCGTTTCTCCATACTGTCACACGAAAATGGCATATTTTAAACACTATGTTAGTATTCTTTCCTATAGTTACTGACAGCTATGACTGCGTAAAAAACTGTATTCGAGTGTCTGTAGGAATGAACTAATATTAAGCTTAATTCGTAAATTTTGCTCCTCTTTGATTCATAGCATCATTCTTTGCATTTTCCGAAACTGTCAGTGGCGAATAGCGCATAAGTTTAGTGCAACTGGATTATACCAAAAAAAAATTGTCTTCACTGCTTCCATTTGACATTATTTACGAGTATTACAACTGAAAAGAGACTCACTTTTGCCCCGAAAAAAACGTAGGGCAAATATCGACGCGGACGAGGTGTATTGCCTGATACCCGCCCTATGAATTGCTACCTGTTGATTTATTAAGATAGAGAATATGGAACACGACAAGGATCGAACACAACAACATCAGTTTAATGGTGAGTCGCCATTACAAGAGCACATGGTTTTGCGGATCATGGGAAAGCTAGGCACGCACTTTGTGTACACTACAATATACTATCAATCAACACTACCACGTGACCCAAATTAGCCAATTAAATCACGCGAAAATTAATCCAGATTATAAAGTTAGATATATCGGTGTTAAAACTAGCGCGCGTAATGTAAACGAACGCCGCCATATTGAAAATGACGAATACTCATGTTCCTGTAGTATGACTCCGTTTAGTATGTTCCGTTTTGCTACAATTTTGTCGACGTTATATTGACGTACAAAAAAAGTCATGTTTTAATATCAGTGTTCAAAAATGGTCTATTTTTGGTTCTAAAGACACCATTTAAAACAAACGAGATGGTATTATAATACTTTGTTTACATCTTGTGTTTAGTCAGTTCCACAGTAACGGACATGACAAGTAGGTGTACCATTAAGACAGTACACGTAATACGAACCACAATTTCTCACTTTTATGTTTGTTGTCGACCAACAGCAAGAAGACCAATGAAAACACACCTGTCTGCTGACCTGACCGTCTGCTACTGTGGGATGCCCTCCGTTTATCCAGCCGGGTGCATGAGCATCACACCTGTTTTTAGGTGGACATGAAGTTGGCATTCTTGTGCCAGCAGACCCCTCAAAGCGGAACCATCCAGGTCCAATTGCATTGTCACAGTAAGTGTTGTAATTTGGGTACGTTATCTTTCTGTCAGCTGTGTTAAGACTTACGTAATTCTGGCATTCTGTAGTAAAAAGAAATAATAATTACAATAGTGAGGCCGAGGCGAAATGTAGCGTTTATTTGGTGACAGTTTGGAGATGCCTAAACTGGCCATGCACTAATCCCCTAACAATCATGCGATACGAGGCACGATTGTTGTTTCTGTTCATTGAGTAAAACAAGCTGTACCGCTCCGTTTAGTAAAAACACTACCTTTATAATATTCTTAGCTCAAGAGGATACCGTTCACAGAATAAGGTCCAGATAGTCAGAGAGGCTTAAAGAGTTGAGGCAGCCTGCTTTGACTCGATTTTAACGTGTAGTACGAGCATAAGCACAATCATAAGCTATTGAGGAAGTTTCCACGTGTTATAAGGCAGATTAAGCATAAGGTGAAATATGCAGGCGCAGAAGAACAATCGTTTTGGCGATTTTCTTCTGACGTCAACGAGCAAATCCAGATGGAGGGGTTTTGTGATGAGCGCCATGTGCATGAAATCACTCAGCAAACTAGTGTGGCGTAAGCATGAACTTAAAGAAGAGAAAATGACTGAGAAAATTCTCTTATGCTTCAATATACCTATTCTTGATTATTTCTCGTTTACTCGTGAAACGAGGAGAGGCAATAGCAATCAACTCACAAGCAAAAGAGGACGAAAACGTTTCCCTTGTCTTTTTATTTATTTGCCTATGTCGTACGCATAAACCAATCTTATCTCTCATAAATACTGTAAGCTGATAGACAAGTTTAAGTAATAACCGAACTTTGTAAGGGAGGAGGTTGGTGGTTTCTAGACTTCATTTTCATAGTTTTTTCGTATCGTTTACGGTTGCTTTTTTGCCGTAGCAAAAAAGCACACAGAAAAATAAAAACAACAATAATCGACTTAAGGGTACATTGACTTGGAAACGAGGTTGATCGATCGTTCATTTGTCTGGAAACGAGGCTGTATTTGTGATAAACCTCGTTTCCAAGCAGCGGTAGTACGGTAGTACTGAGAAGTACCGTTTTATAAAGTGACTCCGACTTTATGAAGTAGCGCAGATTGAGTTGAATGAAACTACTTCTAAACGCCACTTACATAATTGTCCTTTACCGAGAGAAGCTACTTTTATACCTTTGCAGTATAACTTACTTGCCCTTTCTTCAAGGACAGAAGTGGAAAGACCACCATGATAATAAGCTCTGCAGATTGGTTGCCTTCTATGTAACCATTACCACGCGAAACGATTGAAAACTTAAAGATTTTCATGAACTCATTGGTAGAATAAGAAATTTATCTCGGACCAGAATAGGCTTCTTAAAAGCCAGACTCTCCTTTTCCTTGAAATTATCAAGAACAAACTTTACAAGGCCGAAAAAGCAACCATTTTCAATCTTGTGTCGCCCGTAACCTTTGTTTACTAAAATAACTTCTCGCTTTCACGCTAATAAATTTAGGCAATCGTAAAAATTGTCCAATCAGAAGCCAGCCCGCCAAATTCTTCGGACTGGCTTCTGATTGGTCAATTTTAACAATAGCTAAGCCCGTGCGCCCAGCCATCCGGTGGGGAGTTCTGCGGGCACATCGAGACACCCGAGGCTGGAGAGAGAGCCTAAGAGGAGCATGCCATCGACTGGATCAACGCCTATATCGTGTAGCGGATATGAGGACTGGAGACAATCAGTAACGGTGACGCTTCTTTATCGTAAAATATGGCCCAAGTACTCTTTGATGATGCTCTAGGTTTTAGATTGGCCACTGATCATCAGTCCATCCGATCAGTTTTATGGCAGCTAATGTGGTCCTTGTCGTAACTTTTCAGTTCCTCTTCTGTTTTCTTGCTCAAGTCGCGACTAAAAATCGTGTTTCTTTCAGTTGTTTTAACAGATTTCACTCAAAACAACAAAAAGAAAATAAAGGGCAGCGGATCCCAACCCCGATCCTGTGTTAGCATTTCACTCACGCCTTCTTTTGTACTTTTTGATAACAAATCAATCGGGCGGATGATATGCTGATTAAGGTATAGTGCAAAAGAGTGAAACTTTTAGGAGTGGATGGATTGTTGGCTCTACCTCGCAAAGCGCCCATTTCCCCCTTTTAATAATGCAGGGCATCATTTCTAAGAGCTGCCCCATAAGATATGATAAGAGCTATTGATGAGAGCTACCCCATAAGATAAGATAAGCGCTATTGATCAGCACATGTAAATACGCGCTATATAAATTGATAAATTATTATTATTATTATTATTATTATTATTATTATTATTATTATTATATGCAGTAAAAGTTTTCTGTTTGTTTGTTTTGTTTTGTTTTGCTTTTTTTTGCATAATTAGTTGCATATGGTTATTCAGACAACCGATGAAATCCTGAGAGCAAGAAGAGAAGAAAAAATCGGAACGAACTTTTGAAACACCCTGTATGCGTCATATATCTTAAGTACCTTGGGGGGCCTTGTTAAGTGCATAATAGATCGTAGCAATGGCAGATCGTTGCAATGCCTCTAATTACGTTTTGAGAGACACCAACAGCAAACTCGCTATTCCTCTACCCCAGACAAATGTTAAGAAAAATAGTTTTTCTGGAGCAGTTCTATGGAATAACCTTCCTCTATATTGACTAGCAGCAGGCAAAGTCTCTGGCGGTTTTGAGGGCTGGCTGCAAACATCTCTTCGGAATCCGGAGGTTTAGACGGTACTTACGTAAAGCAGACTAAGGCTCTCAGTTTAATTCGGTTTTGTAACAAAGACAAGGGTAAGGTTTTGGGAGCCTTTATTCTTAAACAGGTTAAACAATTCGACGTGTCTTGAACATGGTATGTTTGTAGACGAAAGGCCTTGAACACGGGGTAGACTTTGGCGGTGCGCCGTCTTACATGTGCAGTACCAACAAACTTTTAAAAAATCTAATCAGTGAGTCTTGTTTCTTTTTTCATTTGTTTTTCTGTCCCCTTTATTACTCAATTCAGTATGAAAAATAAAAATGGACTAGAAAGGTCATCAAAAATGGTCTTTTGTCCCATAAAACAGGGTAATGAGATGACTGTTTTTTGTCTTAGTAGAGTCAGGGTTTGAAGGCGGGCTCAGCGGCATAACCACTACCCAAACTTTCAATAAGTGCCTTCCAAGGGGTATATCTGCAGTATATATAGCATGGGGAAGGACATTTTCAGTAGAGGGTACCATGGGCGTCAAAGAAATTTTTATGGACTAAGGCTAACGAGGATGAGGAAAGTCCTCTAGTCTGTCTTTCCTTGTAGGTGTTCCCATTCGCTCGTTACAAGATTCTTGTTAGGTTCTATTAGTATTATACTCCATTTTGTTTGCCTATTTTTGTTTTTATTATTATTATTATTATTATTATTATTATTATTATTATTATTATTAATAATTTTTTTTTTTTGCGGAAAAGACGATGTTCTCTTTCCAAACGCTGTTGAAACGAACTTTCAGTCTTTTAACCTGTCATCTGCAGTTCAGTATCACAACTAGAGTTTCCATGACACTAGAACATCAATCAGTGCAAAGTCTTTCAGACCACAAAGCAGCCCGTACTTTTTGCAAGCCAAGAACGCGCCAATAATCGAGCGAACAAATGGTCTGGAGCAAAACAAAAGGTCGTTCCCTCTTATCTGGAGCAAGCGAGGGGGCAGAGTGAGTGAGACTGAGGAGAGAAGCGAAAAATACATCCTAATAAAAACCACAGAGACAGTCAAAGAAAAACAAAAAGAAAAAAAAAAAGGAAAAAAATACAGTTTCTCCGTCGTTAGTACTACCAAATTCGTTCCTGCTGATCAATAACAAAGAGCCAAAAGGGGTCGACGCTCAAGTTGAATATTTACCATAAAAATTTGGAAATGAAGGAATTAACGTAGTTGACATGTAACAGGTCCCCGGATAGTTGGGAAAACGTAAAGAAAAGTGAGCTAGAAAAAATGGCTACGGGGAGGGGTTAGGGAGAGAGGGCGAAAGAACCTCTTTTCCTCCTCCTGCTTACCAAGTCTTCTTCATCAGCTATTATTTAACCATTTGTTTAACGAAATCCAATAAAAAAAAGGCAATCAGCGGGACGGTTTGTGGCTGGCACGTATGGATCTTGCTACGCATTCCAGTCGCTCGAATACTGTGGGATTTTGATTTTCTTCGAGGGCTAGCTCCGGGCCGTTTGGATGGATTTTCGATTGGAAGGTACAACAAGAATCGTGAATCTTTTGATCTTTATGCTGCGAAGTTTGAAAGTGGAGCAGTGCGATTTTGGGGGGAAAAATCGCTCCGGCGCTGGAACCCTTTCAAAACAAGGATTCCTCCCTTGTCCTTCTACTATATGGAACAGTCAACGGCGAACTCAAATTCATTCAAAATCGCTCAAAAAACCGCTTTTGAGGCAAAAGGACGACTTTACACCACAGGCAAGGTAATTCAACGTTTATTTATCATTGATTTATATACATAGTTAGCGATATATCGCTATAGGTGAAGCAAACGGTAAATCCAGTACAGTTACTATAAAATAACAATGGGCTACACAAACAGATTGTGTGGGCCCCCTGTGCTTTAGCTCGCAGGATATGTTTGTCGGACGTGCGTTTCAGTTTGGGTTTTACAGAAAATACCTTTAAACTTCCCTGAAATCTATCTTTGTTTTGAGGTTAAGCCGTTAAGTGCTAAATATGCTTTAAAATACGCATATGAAAATCAAATAGGATAATGAAACAAAAAAGAAGACAGAGAGGAGTCCCAGGTCTAACGACAGATTAGAGCCTGGTCACCTAATCAGTTTCTAACCGGCTGGGCTTGACAATTGTGAAAGAACGAGTTTAGTGAAATTTTGCGAGATACGTATTTCTAGTTTCGCTTTAATTATTATTTCGAACTATTGAGGTTATATGTCCATCGTTTTCTACATGTTTAAATGTAAAGATCGAATATAGAACACACAGGCACGCACATCGTTTGGAAGCGTTTTTTTTACAACACCGCAACAGCTTACCAGAGCATGTTTTTCCATCGCCTGTGAATCCTGCTTTACATGCGCATGCGTACGATCCAACAGTATTACTGCAAACCGCATTAACGTCACAGCTGTGAGAGTTGGTAGAACACTCGTCGATATCTGCATGAGAATTGTAAGTTACGTAAAGCGTTAGAATAACTAATATTAAATCTACCTGATGGTTTACATCTGGTAGCTAAGGCGGATGTATTCATTTTTTTGGTTCTTGTTTGTTTGTTGTTTGCATGTTACAACAAATACGGTTTTAGGCTTTTTTCCAAAATGACATGGCAGTGTTGAGCTTTTGCACACAAACATTGCACCTTCAATGGTTTCATCGTCTTGTTTAAGAACCTTCAGATTAGAGAAGGTCGTCTCTTTGAAAAACAATTTATTGTGTGCAATTTCAAAGTTACGATATGTGTAGCTCTATGTCGACTTATGAGTCGCTTAGGAGAGGTGGTCGCACATGGAGGATCAACTGTATCTCAAATACCATTGCAAGGTTTTCCATCTCCTGTGTACCCAGCATTACACGAGCATTTGTATGAGCCCACGGTATTCTGGCATACCAAATTGACGTCACAGGAATGGGAACCAGTGGTACATTCATCCAAGTCTAAAAAGTAAGCACACAGGGGCTTCTTGTCAAACAACATGACTTTTTTGGTTAATGAAGCTTGTTTAAAAAGAATATACTTTGCTGTAGTTGGGTAATTGACGTACACTGGCAAGGCAAAAAAAAACTGTTTGAATGAGGAACTTGCAAAAAGGGTCGTAAGCGTGCCCTGAGTTAATGTATGTACTTATGTTCGTTAATAATTTGCAAAGAGGTGTTTAGAAAACCGGGTTAAAAGGTAAGCGGAGGTTAGCGCGACTTTTCCCGTGGTTCCTACGTATGAACGCTTTCTCGTTCTTCGTTTGATTACGCCGATTTCATGCTTTTGCGGCCATTTTTAGGTCAATGGACATTTTTTTAATGCAAATGCATACGACTTGTTTCCCTATGTTTCTAACAATGAAACTGATTGGTGTAACCCTCTCTTCCTTTTCAAGGAATCTGTCTAACCATCTGCCTAACATGCTGTAATTGTGTTTCGACATTTTTGCATGTAGTTTTAACTCAGTGGCTTCACTATCTGGAACGTGAAGATTAAGATATATACGGTTATAAATCTTCATAGTGCTACGCTTATTACCTTTAAAACAAGTGTAGTTGTAACAGTTACTACATGACACATCATTCCAAGTGTAACCATGCTTGGCGCCAAGAGTGTGAACACAGTCTTCATTTCTCCAGTCGTTCGGTTGCTGTGGGGCCCAGAACCTAAAATTGCTCATTTCTTTGTTTGTCCACACAAAGGAGCCCTCCACACTTCGGTCATTGAGTCCAATCCAAGACCTCTCTCCGTTGTGACGGTGTTGAATGTAGACATTTTCTTCTTGATTGTGAACCGTTACCAAATTGGAACTCATCGTAGAACAGTTTGACTCAGCGGTCAGCCACGAGGCGCATGCACGACTTGTGAAGTAACAGTAGCCACCAAAATAACTCCATCTTGGCTGGCAAATATCTGTGATAAAGATATAAAACGACTGTGCAGTTTAGAAATCCCCACACATTTGGTCCCTTAAAGAGTGCTTTCTCAACAGGCTTTCCTAAAATTAAGGCTTAGTAGGGAGAACGGAACAATCAAACAGGCGTGAGAAATGGACGCAAGCAACGCGAGCGACGGGGGACGAGGCAGCTTCACAAACATCATCCCAACTACTTGTGGGGCCGATGCGCTTAGCTGGAGAAAAAAAGGACTGAATAAAACTGACGACGCCAAATTGAGAGCTTTTTCTACATGGGATAATCAGTAGCAAAAACATTAAACGACTTCCAGGGGGCTAATACTTAAAATGATCGCCTTCCTCTACTAATGAAATGACTCTCGTATAAGTTATCTCTTTATGTATTCATAATGAATGAGTTCTGAGTAATCAGTAAAACCTATGTGTTACTAAAACGAGAATTCCATAAACCCGTTCTTACCTGACAAGACAGTATATGATACTGAGAGAGGGTCGTACTTTGACTCGTACAACTCTTTTAAACACATGCGAGCTCCTGTTATGTTGATATACTGAAAAATGAGATATGTGACGATAAGAGTGCATTTGATAATGCACAATTCCTTAATTA